AGTTAACAGAAAGATGACAATGCTGTATTGACCTAAATGGGGATAATGTGGAGTGTTCTGAAGTGTGACTGTATGGCTGTCATCATCTCTTAGCCTGTACTCCAGGCGAATCCCAATTATTTCTGAATTACCCTCGTACAAAGCACCAACCCTGTTCCATACACGCCCCTCCTCACAACCCCTCGACCTACCCAGTGGCGGCTCGTGAGTCTGAGCAGTGGTAGAGCTAAACTAATCCAAAATAAGCGACCCGCATAGGATAAAGCCCACCGCCGATTAAGGACTTCCAAATAATATTCCAGGACTTCTCCGACATCCCCACGGCCACCCGATGAACACGTTAGAAATTCTAACCCATCGCAGAACAACACAATCCTTGCAGCTGGATGACAGCCCCGTTCTGCTTCGCACCCTTTGCCCGCCTCAGTTCAGCCGATTAGTGGATAATGGCATCGTAGGGAGCAATATTAAAATAATGATATAGAGGAAGTAAAGTGTTATAAATTATATAAACACAAAAAATGAATTTTTCAATTTTTGAAAAAATATAGGGGGTGCTGCAGCTCTTATGGATGGGCCGCCACTGCACCTACCTCCTTCTTGTCTTCGAAATTAATGTTTTCTTAAAGGTTTCCCCATCAAAATTCCACACACAATCATCCTCTCGCACATTCTTAGCCCCCTTTAATTTTATTACTCTAACTTAGCAGATAAACTCAACTATTATGTCAGTAATGAATATCCTGATGACGGTGGCACTGTTGCAAATTAATAAGACAATAATACAAGGCAGGTGAGAAAATGTGGTTTTGTCTCAAACTTGAAAATTCCTTAACGAAATAATCATAAAGCCGGGAGCAATAAATACACGGTTATAGGTGGTCTACCTGGGTCTCTACTCAAGATATGATGCTGATGCAATGGAGTACGAAAACGGTGAACACATCCTGTGTGAACTGCGAAGTAATTGAATAGAAAAGAAAATTACTTCTGAAGAAATTTTTTACATTAATTTTACTGAAATTAAATATTGCAATAGTAATTATTCATATTCCATCAACAGTTTTTGTTTTATTGGATGTATGTGGCCGTTTGTATCACCTGCACTTCAAGCCGAGAGGCCGATCTAATTGGTGGATTCCCAGTTTCAATTTATTGCCCACGCTTCAAGTGTCTGCACAAGGACACAGAAATTTCGTTTTAGGCCAGCCTGATGTTCCCGACACAGGTAACCGGAATATCAGATGGTCGCGACACTTGGCTGCACTTTACACAAGGAAAATAAATTTAACTTCGGGAATTTCTATGACTTACAGCTGTTTTATACACGTACTTACCTCAAATGTGTCACAGTACGCCTTGAAACCAATTCTCAGGTCAGGGAGAGAATTTGACGAGATGTTGAGCGCTTTAAGGATTTCTTTGGCTGTGTCTCCTCTCGCAGCCTCTAGCAACATGGCGACATTCGTAGCAAGGCCAAACGGAGCAAACACGAGGTTCTCTCTTCCTGGTGCTAGGGCCTTTAAAAATCATCTAGTATTATCATTTATATTAATCTACATGTAATTTCTTCAATTAGAATTTGCCGAATGCAAATATGAACATTAAATATAAAGAAGGAGGAAATACACTTTCGTATTATACACCACTATGAAAGGATTCAAAACGGAATGAGTTACGTTAGAGTTTTGAAAGACATCTCTAATGGATCCCATTACACTTTAACAGGAAATCTGTAATTTTCACACTATATTTATCACACAGGCCTAATAGAATACTTCTACAGAAGCATCACGAATACTTCAACCTGGCACTAAATTGTCATTTAAATTTGCAGGAAAAATTGGTGTCGCTTGTCATCAGCATGTAGATCCCCAATAAAACAAGTAAGATAACTGAATCGGGTAGTTACAAAACCACATGAATAATCCATTCATTGATAGAATTTCGCTATTGCTACCAGGGGAAAATGCATCGTTTCTCATAAGAATCACACAAATCCAAGCGTTTACTAAACGTGGAATGCTTGATCTATAGTCTGTTTTCCACAAAAACTACATGAGTCCTGGACTTAATTATTGCGTTAATAGAATTTTGTTGGAACGTCTCCAGATTCTCCTAGGGATTAACACTTTTTGCGCCCTATTAAAGTCTGGATTTGAATGGTGTGCCTTGAAGATAACTATAAACTGCCGAATGAAAGTATCACCTTAGGTAACTTGCCTGGAACAGTTTGGGTACGAAGTTGTTGCTGAGATCTGTGACCAGCTGCAAGCCACTCAGAACGTCTCCACGGGACGGCAAAACAGCGGCGAGAAAACAGCAGAGCAGCGTCTTCGCACGAAGTGAAGATACCTCTGCGTGAAATGAAAATCATCCCGTGTAGCCTAATTTCCTTCTAACTAGAGGCAGACGAGTGAAATTATGCCCATATAACACCAATTGCACAATATACAGGCCTCAATAACAGTCTTGAATAGATGGATAACACCAAAATGACCGGCCAATAACTAGTCTACAGTCGGAGAAGCGAGTTGAATCGACTGAAGGAGACAAATTGATTTCAGTTCTGGACTCGTCGTTGGGCACTTAGTTTGGCTCGCACTTTGATATGCATGTACCCTACGCGAATTCAACGTCACCTCACCTCACCTCACGTAGGATCCTTATAGCGAGCCGCCACAAGTCAAACTTGCGGGAATAGATTTTTTTTACTTTTAGGAGAATTTTATTACGAAACAAGGTCACTTAGAGATGACATAAAATAATTTCGGAGTAGAAAGAGCTAGTTGAGTGTAATATCTGACGCTTCAACTTCAACAGCAGAGGTTACCGCCTCACTTATAGAATCGATGGTGATGGGAATATGACCATGAATAGTACCTAAGCAAGGTTTTCTAAGTTGTAGTCGAACCATTCATATGTGCCAAGTGAGGACAGTCAGTAATGTGGGCAATGGTCGAAATCAGTGCCTCCCAGATACTAGCCAGTGTTACCGCCGTGATCAGCAGACACGAATTCTATGTGGGCCTGATTAAAATGTCGCTTGGTTGAAATTTTACATTTAAATATTCTTAAAAACTTAAATGCTCAATTCTGGGTCATGTGGCAGAATCTTGTGAACACGTTAATGAACCTCTGGGTCCCATAAAGCGTCACGGATTTCTTGACTACCTGAGCAACTATTAACTATCATCTGAACATGCAAAAAGTTATTTGCTTTTAGTAACTGCATAGACAGAATCAGTTCAAGACGAGAAGTAAATCTTCCAACTCGGTTTCACAGAGAATAAGCCGGTACAACAAAAGATAGAAAGCCGTGGCTAAATTGATGATGGAAGATGACGGAATATTCAGCAACCGTGAAATAGGAGAGGAAAGTGAAGTAGCTGGAAACCATCAGAGAAACCTAACTCATCTGCAACAATCCCTTTTTCAGGGTAGGAACCCTGCACACAGCAATTCGATCAGAGCTATAGAATGACAACAGTGAAGCCACAATACAACACAAGCCTATGTTATATACGCACTTCTTCATAATTAAAAAAGCGTGCTAGGTTTGCTACGTCGAACGATAATGGACTGTTTTTACACTATGTCTGTATTCCCCCTATCTCCCACTTAATTTCCTATTTTAAGACGGAGAATTTCACAAATTGTTACAATAAAATACAAGATTATCATTCTGTGTAAGAATAGCGTTATTGCGACATTCTTAGTACTTAAACAAGTAGGTCTGTCAAATGTCATGGAAGATATAAGAAATACGTCTCAATTTTAGTCTATTGTCTGTAGGAAAGAGACCACTTGGAATACCTAGACATAAATGGGAAGGCAGTATTAAGGGTATACGGTGTAGGGTGTGGACTGGATTCATCTGGCTCATAATATGAATCAGTGGAGGGCTCTTGTGATCACGGTGATGAACCGTCAGCTCCCCCCCCCCCCCACCACAAGCTACGAGTTCCTTGACTCGCAGCTTGTCAAGGATCTACTCCAGAAGTTGGTTAAAATAATTTTTGTGAAACTTGTGATCCGTACATTTACAGAAATTGTTGTCAAATACGACACTTGTATGAAGCAGGAAGTTTTTGTATACGTTCATACTAGACGTACTCATCAGTGCGAAATAATTTTAAAATACCACTTGAGTGCGACGAGTTACACAAGCAGAAAGTCGTATAGCTAATCGATATAACTTTCTCCTTTTGCGTAATTTGCATCCATGTTGTCTTGTTAGCAATACACATTAAGCAGTGGGTAAATAGTTCCTAAGCGCCACGCCATGAAGGTATGTAGGCTGTAACGGTGAATCTGCAAACATTTCTAACTATGTAGGATTTGTGGTTCTCACTGCGTTAAGTAAGAAAACTGTTTTCTTCTCTGAAACGTCAGCAGACTTATACCAGACTACACGATGCTACAACCCAGAGGACAGCCTTGGTACTCGATGAGGAGGTACGGTTAGTGTCACACTCCTGCCGCCTTACCCTCTTGACAGTTCCCCGTTCATCATATATTGTGCGTTGTCTGGTGGATATTTAACATACACAACATTTCTCAAGCTTGCTGTTTAGCAAGTGTATCTCAGACAGTGGACACAATCGAACGTAACTGTGGCATACAACACGAATCATTGCGGCGTATCACTAGAAAACCCCTTGGTACACACAAACATTGACAAAATCGTAGTGTTTCGGAGATATTAGGGCGAGATATTTAGAACATTTTTAGGAATTGACGTATTTGCTTAGACCTGTAAAATACGAAACAACTACGTAATCATAGACCTAAAATACGTAATACTAATCACAGAATTCAAAGGCTGCTTCTACGCTATATCAGAAATTATATAATGGTACAGTTATAAGCCTAGAAGTAGGCCATTGTCGATTGCAGATGTTATGACATAGAACGACCACAAAGTTCAACTGCATTTACCGACATAGATTTCTGGATCTGATTAAACAGCAATAAGCCTTGTACGGATTCCACAAAGAAAAATGAAAGGGTTACAGATTGAAACATGTCTACTATTGCGAATGCTAGTTAACTGCATGCGAGCAAAAACTTTACGTGTTTGGTAAAGCCAGCTTCACACTATCAACAGCAGCTAAGACTAACATTTACAGACCAGTGCAACCACAAAGAACCCCCTTGCATTTTGTCCGCAGAGTGTATTTGTGATTTTCATAATGCATAAAGATTATTTGTTTAAACAGGTTTCACCAGCTGGTCTTTGTAATTCAGAAACATTGCGTTGAGTTTTGGAGCCAAAGGGCTAATCTCGATTATCGTGATTACGAGTTGTTCTTACTAATAGAGAATATCATCCCAGATAACAGTCAGGGCAACGTGCCTTTTAGTTGCTGCAAATCAGTGTTGAACTGTGCTCGTGTGCAGTGGACTGCCATGATGGCCTGTAACTTTCACTATCAGCCAACCTCCGTCTGGAAACTGAGTTCCAACCGATGTCAACACACTCACGAACGGAAGAAAAAAGTTCTCAGTAAGGTTATGTAATTGTCGCACATTGCCAAGCCTATGAGCTATTATCATACATATTCTGACAATTGTCATAATCCTGACTCCGCTGCTGAGATTGTCATCATAATGTTCCGTTTCAAATTATAATAATTACTATTTCATATTCTAGTGCTGACTGAGTAGCGGCTTCTGCGTAAAAAAAATTGAATTGGATTATCACGGAGTGACTAGAAGTGTCTCTGGCTGTATTTGATAATGGCCCCACACCCCTGTTTGTTTAGATTTATTTTATCAAAATGTCAAAGGACTCACAACTAAAGGATGCTATTTTTTGGACGTTGTTTTCGTTTTAACCACAGCAGCTATTATGCATACTGTACGTATTACGGAAACCTGGCTGAACGACACATCACCTTTCGCGTTGCTAGAAATCACACTAATTCAAATACAGCTCGTGAAGACAGAGCACTAATTGCGATCTCCAAATTATCTTATGGTGTCAAACGATGGAAATTATCAAAGAATACGCGTGATTGCAATTCCTATAATTTTAATATACTCTTAGTCATTTATCATTCTGCCACGAATTATAACGTCAAAATATTAAAACTTATCTTTATTTTTAGAAAGATAATTTAAGCACACATTCGTATCGTGTGATTTTCTTAGGAGACTTAAATTAACCTAACTATAATTGGTCTAATGGCACTCCACTACCAAAGTCCCACTGTTACACACAATAAAACGAAACTTAATCAACAGCACACCAGTTTTCTTCATCCTAATCAGTACAACGTCTCCGCTTATAATAGTTAGCTTTTTTAACATTCATATTTTTAAAACTATTCCATGGTGAATCCTGACAGTTATCTCCCGTCATTTGTTCTTTACTACAAATTAACTTTAGACCATCCCCCACATCTCATAATAATTACGCTCAAGATTATATTTTTGATTCATCGCACTATTTGCATCTCCGATCAGAAATTGGTTAAAACTATCATCAAGAGCGACAGGTATTTTTAAAATACATTTTAACCCTTTGAATCCGAAGCTCATCTAAATAACAATTACAAATTCAGTTCATACCTCTACTATTAAATCAACTGATTAATGATATTTAAGGAAATAATCGCTGTTTATTCTGAGAAGCACACAAAACAAATAAATACACTTTGGGCAAAACGTAGAGTTACTTAATGTTAAAACATCTGGTACCTATAGTCACTACTGGGCTCTAAAGGGCTAAATTAAGAAGGCGCGATCACACTGTTACCAAATTAAATCTGTAAATAATTGTTAAGGTACCACAACTTATTGAGGAAGATTCTGTTGACCACTTTTAATTTTTATGGAGGGCAATTTCGTGTATATCAAATAAGCAGTGGCGGCCATTAGACAAGGGGTGGTCCTCCAGTTTATGGGAGGGTTTGACGGAGGGCTAACTACTCCCCTCCGTAAAATATAATGTTTTAAAATTTTACTCGGATTGTTCGGACTCTGATTCTAACGACCATTGCAGTACCGTTAATACAAAAATGTTCGATCGTGCTGGTCGCAGTTACAGCAGCGTCGTGAAAGAAACAAAGTTCACTCTCACCTGGTAGCATTGTGCCAGTGACGGTGGAGAAGACGTGTCGATGTTTCCGATGGCAACACTCACCGAGTCGGTACCTTGCTGTCCACTGACACTCTAGGGAACTGGGTCACCAGGTACCAGGGGCCAGGGTGAGTAGCTTGTCATCATCCCTCCCACTCCTTCGCTTTCAATCTCAAACTGCACTGCTCATAGAAACCAAATATGCGTGAACAATTTTACTTTAAATAACACAAATACCTTGGGCTGCCACTAGCGGTAAGGCCTCCTCGCAAGTTCATTTAAAAAAACATAACGATAATTAACACTGCTTACTTCAAGCATTTCAAACTTTCAATAAACTCTTATTTATTAACTGTGACCACATGATTAATATTTTACGTGCTCATCAATTTAATCAACAATGTCATCGATAACACGGCATATTAACACCTTAGATGACAACGGAAGTTGGTGCATTAAACAAACATTGAATCATTTGAACTTATTAGAAAGTTCAGATTTTGAAAACGAAAGCATCTGACATCACACATCTTTTCTATTATTTACCGTCGCAGTAACAACTGCTGCAAAATCCCAAACCCACCGCTTTATCTATTAAACTGCGTACTGTTACCTCGCGACGAAACGGCAAAGTACAACACACAAGAGCTTGTAAGATATAAGAATTATTATTCAGGTTTGTCAGTACCTAATGTATATCAAGCTTCAAATTCCGGATCCGCATAAAAATCAGTGTTTTAAGTAAATTCGATTTCAGAAATGATGAAAAAGGTAAATAACTAAAAACATTTTACAACATATTTTCACAAAGCTGATATTAAAATTGTTCCCTTCATGACCAAATCTCACTTTTCGAACTAAATTTCTTTCCGGAAAAAATAATCAACCAGTCCAAATTAGTTGAAACGTTGTATTAATAAGTTATACGTGCAGGCCTGTAAGAACCAATCGGACATACAAGGTCTGCCACAAAAAAACGAGACTGTGCCTGTAACTCTTTTTATTTAACAAATTCAGAAAATCAACTACGATCGCCTTCAAAATAGTTCCCTTCTGAGTTGACACACTGCTGCATACGATGCTGCCAACGTTCAAAGCAATTCCGCAGGTCATGTTCTGTAAGGCTGTTGAGGATCTCCGCCGTTTTTGCTTTCACATCTTGTACCGACAAAAAAATGTGTTCCTTTGAGCACCGACTTCATCTCTGGGAAGAGGTAGAAGTCGCAGGGAGCGAGGTCTGGCGAATAGGGTGAGTGGTCAAGCACAGTGATGTTTTTATTAGCTAAAAACTGCTTCACAGACAAGGCGTTGTGGGCTGGCGCGTTGTCCTGGTACAAAATCCACCCGTTTCTCCATAATTCCGGTCGTTTCTTTCTCACACGTTCACGCAATTTTGTCAAGACTTCAATGTAATACTGCTGATTTACCGTCTGGCCACTGGGTACCCACTCTGCCATCACAATACCCTTGATATCGAAGAAAACAATCAACATTGTCTTGAACAGCTGTGCGTGGAAGTCCTGGGCGATCATCAGCTTTCACGCATTCTCTGCCTTCCGAAAATCATTTGTGCCATTCAAAAACGCGTGCACGAGACATGCAATCTTCACCTCAGTCAATAATTGAAAAGTTTCCGTCGCTGATTTCTTCAGTTTAACAAGAAACTTGATGTTAACTCGTTCACTTTTGCAGTCAGACATTTTCCGGCCGAGGGTAAAAACACGTCTGTACAAAAATACTCGTCCACTGCTACTGAGTGAAGCAAACAAGTTGAAACTTGCGTCACTGGTAGAGGACAGATCAGGGTCAAATATGGTCTGCTTATTTCGCCCTCACCATAATTGTTTGCCTACTTACAGCATTAGTCTCGTTATTTTTGTGGCAGACCTCGTAATTGCTTGTTCTAGTTGGTAAAAAATATTCCTTGTATTTTTAAATAAATTTGGAGTAAAGGAGCAAACCCTTATGAAACTGGCCCTATATAATTAGTTCATCAGTTCAAATATTGTATTGCATTTGTCACCGCAGTTATGCTTCAGCAGTACCTTTATTTCTGAGTTTGAATGTGTCAGACCTGCCCAGTACATTGAAATATGGTCCTTTAGGTTAGGTTTAAAGAACATCTAAAGTATTTTCTGTTGTTCAATATGAGCAGAATGCAACAGAATAAAATAGACGGAAATTTATTTACATTCCACAGATCCTTGACAGTACAAGCCAAGGATGTGAACCATGTCATAATTTGAAAACCACACTTAGTACAAATATAAATATAACTGCATAGTTGTTACTGTTATTTGCATAAATATTTACAATATTTTATAATTTTCAGTCAAAGTAAATTCTTCTAAAGAGTAAAAGACTGATATAAAATATGCTTCACATTCGTTCGTATTATGATTTAGAATTTAGTTCTCCCTGGAACGGTAGTGAATAATTTGATCCTTGCCCAGGAAGCAACTTTCTGATAAGTACCGAGGTTAGCACTCAATATAAGGAGGTCGTGGTTGTCTTTTGTGTTTATACACGTATGTCAGAACTCGTCTGAAACTTTTCCATGTTATCCACAACATACGACAGGAATAAGAGTATGAATTCACTCCTGCGGAGGATTATGAACAATTTCTTACATAGTTCTATAGCTGCTTGAAGCCCCTGACTGTAACTGCATTTATGATTCCAGCATGACAGAGCCCTACAAACTATGGAAAGAATGTTCAGCAGCAACTGGATGCAACACACTCGAGGATGTGGACCGGGTGTGCACGGCTTCCTTGGTCACCTGACCTCACTCCCATGGGTTTCTTTATATGGCGACATGAAGAAACACGTGTACAAAGTTCCTCCCACAAGAATTCAAGATCTCTCTGTGAGACTTCACACTGTTGTTACAGCACGTACCAGAAAATTCCATGCGACACCCTCCTGTCTGCCTTGAAACGCAATGCACGGTGCCCGTTTCGAACACATGTCATAAGCATGGAAGGCACGCTGCCCATGTAGTTTTTCTGTAACCTCGTTCGGTTGCAATCCTAAATTATCTTACCTCTCTCAAAACTAAAAATCACATGAAATTTGTTGTTCAACATTCGCTACAAATTTTTGTACAAGGAATCACACTTTAGACAGCACGTGTAATTTTTCTCACACTGCAGGTAACATTGAGAAACTAACTGGCTTTTTCTTTCTATAATGATGTTCTTGTACTTTCTTTACTGTATTTATTCATCATTTATCAATCGACATTGTCAGTAGCTCAGATTACACGGTATTAAATAACACGATGATCAATGAATTTGAAAGGATCTGAAGAAAGCGGTCGTGGCGTAATTTAATGTGCTACCCTGGCATTTGGCACAATGGGCTGACAAAGCCACAAGAAAACAATTTAGTGTAGTTCATCTACATGATCAGATTTGAATCTGGGACCTACCAAGAATATGATCCAGGATTCCTAAACACTTGACTGCAAAACGTTCTCAATTACAAAACTGAAATAAAATGACATCAATTGCTAAAGAGACAGAACTTGAAGATTTCTGTCTTCTGGGTTGTTGCACTGTGTAGTCTGGTCGATGTTAACCAACGTTTGAGAGGTCATACTGCCTCCGTCATCAGGGCGATTCTTAGTATGAAGATTTCTGTCTTCTGGGTTGTTGCGCTGTGTAGTCTGGTCGATGTTAACCACCGTTTCAGAAGTCATACGGCCTCCTTCATCAGGGTGATGAATATGCCAATAGGGTGTGTGGGGCTAGGTTTATAGGAGCCGGACTGTGAATGGAGTAGCCTGCCCCGAGCCAATTGGAGCAGGCGTGGGAGTGGACCAATAGGAGCACGTGGGTGAGTGTGAGAGAGGGGGCTCGGGAAGTGTGTCCGGTGGGACATTAGGAGGTCGGTTGAACTCCTTTTACACAGAAATTATGAAGATACTTTATTCTGGCTAAAGCCCACATGGAATATGAAAAAAGAGTATGAGTACATAATTCAAAGTATTACCTACAGATGGTAGAAACAATAAATGTCTACAAGACCTTACATAAATAACAATAATAATAATCTTATGCCATTCTGAGGGAATTATTTCAAGTCGACATTATTTTACTGTGTAAACTTAAATCGTCAGTATTATTCTGAATTGTTCCCAAACATGTGAATACTGTACCTGCACATGGTAATGTTGCATAAAAGACCAACTTCGACTGCCAAGTCAGCTTTTCCTTGCTTCTTTCCACAACTTTCAAAACTGTATATTTTCAATGTGTCTTTCAACATTTCTCTTATAGAACATTTTAAATCATCGTCAATGAATTCTCTAATTCTTCCACTTTGTTGTCTGAAACATAAAATGAAACATTTCTGTCCATTTGTGTAATGATACAGCAGTTTCTTGATTTTTTAAATTTGAAGTGATGTACATTTTGTAGCAAGTAACCAAAGTGCACAAACATTTTCATTTAACTGGAACCTCATTACTGTCTGTCTGAGAAGAGAATTATTTTGACCATTAAATGCCATCTTAAACACAATTTCCCTCACTAATAGCTTTTAAATTACTATAACAATCTGCATAATGTTCAATACATCATGGGAACACCAGTGACCTGGCTGTCATGATTGCAAATTTCCTTCTCCTGAATCAGCATTGATAATTCCACACCCACTGCTTTTTTGCCACAATACTCAACTACATTACGAATAATTTCTCTTTGCTGGAAGTTACTTTATCTTTTCAATGAACACATTTACTAGAGTGTTAATGCCTTTATTCCTTATCAAATGATGTGAAGAATGATACGTGACAAAAAACCAGTAACAACCGGCAAGTTCAATGTTTTTAGAACAGCTTTATTTGGTTTTTTATCACGATCCCAATTCCATATAAGTACACATATATATATTGGTATGTTAACTCAGTCATGTTATCTTCTTGTTCTCATTATATTTGACCATAATAATGTTAACATTAAAAGAGATTCTTACCGATACACGCAAAGAATTTTCTGCATAGAAATAGTCTTCTGACTGAGGATGAAGGTTGGCCTTATACGAGATCAATGCCTGTCTATCTCGTTTAGCCACAAATACCTGAAGTTTATAAGACAGAGAATAGCCATTAGGGTTTATGGTACCACAGAGGAGCTTGCTGTGAAGAAATGCCTTTTTCTATTAAAATTAAAATGCTGAAACTAAGTTTATCTACAAAATCTATGTATACTTTTGCAATAAGGAAGACTTTGAACTTGAACCAAAATCCAGACTTCATTTTAATAGGCTGACCAGCATTACTTACATTAACAACAGCTTTATGACACTGCAGCTTTTGTGCCAGTCCAACCCGTTTATCTACATTGTCAATTAGCTCCAGGTATTTGACGAGAACATCCACTGGGGCTCCATGAGCATGGAGTTGCATAACCACTTGTTCCATAGACACCGCTGCCTTCAACTTTTTGCCTCCGAGCCAACTCTACATGAACAATGTACAGTCTTCAATTACTATGAAATTAACATTTTTCTTAAGGTATACACAAAGGTAGGATTATGATTGGGCTACTGACAGAGACCTGCAAATAAAGACTGTGTACTTACTAAATATACAAGCCCATAATTAATATTTTAAGAATGAAAACCAACTATCCTCCTATGTGTACCTTTGAAAGCATGTGAATCTTACCTAATTTTGTGGAACACAGGCACAAATAGCATTTGCAGCTGACAACTTCTAGACCCACAAACAACAACAAACCACTGTTTCTCATAATTTATTCATTATGTAGTTTTCAGAGATATATTTTTAGGGAACCCACACATTCTAAACAGGGCACTACAGGAGGTGGGTGGACCCTAGAGTCGGTACAAACATGGCAGCAGACGGAAAAGTGTCCGCCCCTGCTGAGAATCAAACTCCAGTCACTTAGCTATCCCAGCTTATGAGGACTGATTCTTGCTCACATTATAGATGATTCAAATGACAGAATGAGCAAATATGTCTTACTTTTGTGATAAACAATCCTTCAATGTCATCCCAGGAATGCAAAGAAGCTCGCACAGTGAGAACTGTCCACTGGAACTGCCGATCACTCACACCTTGTTGCTGGCTGAGAGTTAGTGGAGCACTAATACTGCCTTTTGGTTCACTCCAATGATGCTGACATGTATATGCCAAGGATGACAGAACAGGCTGTCCTACCAATGCCTTGGCAATCTCAGCATCAGCACCAGCCATTGACAACTGCCACTCTAAAATCAAAATGTCTGTTTCTATGTTCAAAAGGGACAGTTACAATAGTAAAAAGAGAAAAGATTCTAATGGATATATGTATAACTAACTCCAAGAAACTATTATACTGAATTATTTCTTTGTACAGTTGTGTACAAATATGTTCTTCAGATATTTTCCATGAGTACTTTTTACAGCAAATGTATGTGGTGGCTATACAATACATTTGATTATTTGAAGTACATAGTTTGCTGTTTTGAATGCTGGCTAGTTACACCAGCTTTTTATCTGTCTCGCTAACTTCCTGCCTTTACTTATTTTGATCACAGCATTGGGCACTGGTGCTTCTGGATTTAGGTTTATGAATTACCATTCTTCTGACTTGTTTATGAACAAATTGCATTTGTTTATGTTTCCTCTTAATCCTTTCTGAAACTTTTCTGTTGGAATATTCGATATTTCAATCATGTGGTTCTTCTTTTACAAATAATTCATTATTGTAAGAGTTTTGACAAAGAATCATTAGGTTTTCCTTTTTCTGATTCAGTTAGTGTTAAATGGTTATCTGTTGTTTTCTTTTTGGTTTGTTTTTGTTTTTGTTTCCTGTTTTATCCATGATTTATCATTTAATTCTTGTTTATGCTGATTTTTTGTGCCTTCTTGGTTGCTTGATATCTAATAGCAACACAACTCCTCATTATCTTGTTTTCTCCAACCTCCTGTTACTTTGTCTCTCTTAGGTCTACCTATTCTGCTCAGTACTCTGTTCTCAAACACCATGAATACAGGTAAAAATTATATTTTGAAATATGTGTGTAAATAAACAACATCAGTAATAATTACACCAAGTGCATATTGTGATAACAATTCAGTACCCCCATTTAGTCTAAATAAGTTCTAGAAGTTCTTAAAATATCTTGTAAATTCATGTCAGTAATTACAGACACACATGAGATGCACAAAATGCAACTCTTAATACTCACCCAAAAGTTTAATATAGTTCTCAATTAGCAGACGATCTTTATTGTCAGTGAGTGAGAAGTGATTTTTGAAACATGCCTGGAGCTTTTGAAGTCGGCGCTGTGGATTCATTGTGCCACAAACTGCAAGTTGGAACTGCTTCATCTATTACATAAAACAGAAATGATACCAATCGTGAGTTTCCGTGCCCGCATATGTATTAATTCTTATGTGAAAACCACAGTAATTGTGAAAAAACTACACTGTAATACGGATTCTATTTGTGGATTATGGCACTGCGTAGATTAAATTCTCATTTCATTCCCACTTCTTTTATGTAACATTATTCAACAGAATAACCAGGGCAATGTAATTTGCATTTTGTGATTATGGCACAAAAACAAAAGTGGAACAGTGTACCCTACAACATCCAAATTGACATTTCTTACTCATGAATTATAACTGCATCATACTTCCCACAGATGCCATAAAATACTCATCCACTTCAAATCTGTAGCTCATGTCTAAAACACTCAGTTTTGAAAGTAAAGAGATGAAAATAAAAGGTTATTTTGACGTGCAATTAAAATGGTACTCCAACTGGCTAAATTGGTCTGAAAGCATCATGTTAATGAGTTATCAATATAAATGTTTACTAGTGCCATGGATGCAAGTCAGATAAACAGGATATCACAAACATATCTATTTTTCAAACACATACTCAAGCTCAATTTATAGTACCCACGTATGTTACTAATTTCTTTTTAATGTGGCACAATTTCTACTCTGAGAAAGAAATTAATCCTTAGTTCAAGATAATACAAAAACAATACACAGGTATTCATCAACTTGCTCTAATCTATACCTCAATTACACATCAGTAAGGATTATATAAATATTTATAACAACATAACTAATTGTGAAACTGTCATTAATTCTAACTGTAAAACATGCAATTGTTTACTTACTGATGCTTCTCTATTGTCACCAAGCATCCTACAAAAATAAAAATCTCACATAAATTAAATTAATATTTCTTACACCACAGCAAGCACACATGTATTTTACTTATCTATTATTTTTTAGTTTCACAGGTGTCTCTTGCTAAAATATGAACATACAAAAACTGAAGAATGTGAAAAAAAAAGTCTGATTCAATAAGCAAAGTGTACAGCTGACAAGTTATCCTCCAGTTTTGGTGGAAGAATTACTTGTTCCCACTACTGATTGTGTATAAGTTCAATGAATTACACAAATTAAAACTTTGCTTTACAATATGCTATCAGGAAGGCCAAAGTGGACAACTGTTACAAGGTACAGCTGTAATTAAGAAATTATGCAAGTTGCATTCCGACTTACTCAAGTAGATCTGTGAGCTCATGAACCCGCAGTCTTATGGCGAGATATTGACAGTACTGTGCAACAGCTTCAGGTCTAGTTCGCAGCAGCTGGTACACAAGATTCTTTTTTAACGTACGCACCAGAAACAACACCACCTGTAAAAACAACTCCATCAGCCATACCCAGCTCTGAAAATCTGTCTTACACCAAGATTATTACCTGTACCAAGACACCACACAACTAATATTCTACTGTTTTAATCTGTATTATATAAATGTACTTTATTTTATAATTTATATGAGAGCATCCTGTTGTGGTTTCTTAACTAGCAGTTTATATTCAGTCAAACACACAACAAATACAGCACAATGTCTACATCATCATAACACCAACTTTCATTATCAAAATAACTGCTGATGCAATACTGGCATTTCTAGTTTTTCCCACAACATGTTTTGACAAATTTTGGCCATCTTCAAGCTATTATAAAAATTTAAATTTGGAAAAAGTACTTTAATATAAAACTAAAAGTAATGAAGACATGTCAGCAACAGCGTGCTATGTGCTAGTTTCTTTATCTTCAATGGAATTGCATCTATATAAATTACTGTACCATTGACTACTACATTCCATTACGTTTATCAAAGGAAAAAGTTAATAATCCATACACTTACTGCAAGTATAGCATTACCATCCCCTACAGCAATAGCTGCATCTAGCAACTCAGTTTTACTTTTCAATGAGCGGTATAATTCCAGGGAATACGGATAACCCAGCAAGATTTTGGCGACAGTATCATTGACCGGTGGAGGAACCCAGCGATTCTGAAATATGTACAATTAATAGTCACCAAACCATCAATAATGGTAAGACAGTCTGTTATGTTCTTCAGGGACTGCAGGTGTTGATAAGATATCAGACGCTGCCCACAACTACATAATTGGAACATTTAACCTACAAGTGCAGACGTATCAAGAATTTTTACAAGCAATATGTCTAAATAAAACTGTCCTAAAGCTACTCCTATATTTTGCTCAACAAGAACAGTATTAGTAATTGACATTTTGAACACTAGTGCTACTACAGTAATTCACAAATCCCTTCCCAGGTATCAATGCTGTGCTTCTGGGTTTTGATGTTTCCCGAAAACACTGGTATCTACCTTCAAGTCCACAGCCCAGAAAAACAATTTCAACATCTTCATTGCCATGACAACCTCAAATCTCACTTTTCCATGCTTTTCAAAGGGCAAAGTTTAAAAATTGTGGGTAAAACAACTCTGTGCTCTTAAATATACAAATACAAAAGATAGCACTTATTAATCAATCGCAACTCCATGTTCAGCATTCATTTAAAATCTTCCGGTATGCATACAGGTTTTAGCGAAGATGGTATAATATGTTTTCATCACAATTCAATGCCCCTCGATCAACTTGCTCCTTTTTGGCAAACCTTGAATCATAATTTATTAATGATAAGGTTCCCTTACAACAAACAAGAGTTCAATATTATTAAAAATAGCAGATTCCAAAATGCAATATCACAAGTGATTGATCTAGCATATGAGATATCTTAAACCCTGGTAAACAGACATATACATACATCCCTATCCAGTCAGTTGATCTCCTGATACATCAACTAGCTCATGAAAAAAACACTTAAAGGTGACAGCTGCCTCGGAAGAAATAGATAAGGCTCTTATATTTATGACAAAGGTACATGCCAAAGCTAATCACCCGATTACCTCAACTTGACGTCGTAATATTCTCACTTCTTCCTCTGGACTAAGTTTCCCTTTCGGCTGTTTCTCGTGAAAATTCCCAGCTTCCAGAACTACAAGAAAATATACGTGATCCAAAACAGAGGCATTTAGATTTACGTACATATTAAAAAGTTCTTAGTCCTTAAACCCCCAAATTTGCCAAGAAACTTTCCACACTTCCCTGTCCCATATTTTCTTACCATACACCTAAAACACATAAGACAAGAAAAGTACGTAAAAACAATATTAAGTGCAGATGACCGTGTGGTGTTAGCAACTTCAGAAAGTTGATTACAAATATTGGTACATAACTTGAATAAAATGGCAAAAATATATAATCTCAAAATAAGCAGCAAAGGAAAGAATTAAATACAGAGACAGATGGTGGAGGGTCGTTGAGGAGGCCAAGGCTCACACTGGGCTGTAGCGCCAAAGAAGAAGAAGAAGAAACTCTGCTGGATGGTCACATATTGGAACAAATGCAATATTTCTTCGGAATATAATCAAAATATCAAATCACCTATGGAACAAAATATACATTTAGCAAAAACATAACTGAGGAAACATGGAAGAAAAATGACAGCAGGCTAGTATCAGTAGAAATTAAATTCCTCCAGTCAATGAAAGGGTACACAAGATCATGAAGTAAAAAAACAGCTGCATATATACTCAGTCCTCACAAAAACAGTCACAAACAGAACTGGACACATAATTTAGACAGAATGTGACTGGAAGATTACCTAATGGGATATTAAATTACAAACCAGGAGGAAGAAGAGACAATGGTATAACAATGCAAACATAAAGATAAAGTTAAAAAAAAATTGTGAACCTAATCCCTTAATGTAAATGCTGAAGATGAAATTTCCTAACAATAATTAAATTTGCAGACTATTATTTTGTACTGTTCAAAGTGAGACAGAACAGTGAATGGAACTACTAATTTGTGACTCAGATAAAATCTACTCCAGTTCTGGCATTTTCTGTAAGTTAACAAGTTAATACACTGACATTCATAATTTAGACGTGATTATTCGATCCAGACAAGCATCACCTTCTTCAGCCACAGACATCTTTCCTTTATGTAGGCCATCTGTTGACAAATATATTTAATTAGTTTTGTATCTACTTACTGCAAAGCAAACTCTTTTCTGAAATAAGGGTTTGTAGAGGTCTTGCTGCTGTCTGAGATGAATCTGATATAGTCGCTCTGGATAATGATCCTGCAAATAAAGATCTGAATGCTAAATATGTCATGGGTCTAAACATATGGTCTCATCATTCTGAACTACGCTATATTATGAAAATTTGAATTTTGTGTCCTTGCAAACAATGAAACATCAAAGCAAGTTGAAACAAATTTTACATCATCATTATGAATGAAAATTAAATATAGGGAAGACCTCTAAAGACAGTCTGAACTAGAACCAATCAAAGAAGATAAACTGTGATACTTATGATGACTACAACATTGTTCCAAGACTTAACCCAACATTAACTACAAACTTTTAATATACACATGGTGACAATATTTCACATAAATAAACACTCAGCTTTGAAATCAACCAACACTGTTCATGTTCCTCCCATTCCTAAAAAATTTGCTATTTGTGGACTATCTTGTCTAATACAACAAAATAGGATCATCAATTAACGTAAAAGTACACTGTGGCCTTTTGTCCAAGGCTACTGAAGAATGAATGTTTTTTTTTGTAATTTGTTTAATGACACTGTCAGCAGCTCAGACTACAAAGTAGCAAATGAAAGTATGATTAATAAAAAATTATATAGAAAGGATGAGGAGGGAAGTGATCATTGCCTCAGCATTTGCCTAAAGAGACAAAGGATACCTACAAAAAAACCTGAGTCAAGACAGATGAAGGCTGGGAAAAAATGGGAACTGGCACAGCAAGGGTGCCAACATGTGATGAGAATGAATATGAACTCCACCTGTGTACATCTGATTTTGCAACCAATGAACTGTACAATAAATCCAAATAAAACTGTTCATTTTTACTACATCCATATTCAGTTCACTTTTCATTAAACACTGTTAGTATACTTATAAATAACTTGACACCTGCAGAATTAATAAACTCATCCTCATCTTCATCTTCCAGTTAAAATACTGGTTACCAATATTTCAAGTGTGACTCCTGCATCCATCAGTCCACTGAAGGAGGGAGCAAGCACCTCTGAAATGTTGGTAAACTTCTACCATATTACATGGTGTAACAACCCAGATGTCAGCCATCTTCTAACCCTAAGGCCTATACATAAACATATATAAAAATACATTGTTTTAATAAAATAAAATGTGTGGAGGGGGTGTGTGAGGGGATGCTAATGTAATTACTGTATTCTTCTTAGCATATTCCTTCTTCATGAACAATTTTATTTACCATTTTAACTCTTAATGTTACAGGTTACTTCCAACAGGGTACGATGCACCAGAACTTATTTCTCCCCTAATTTTCGTTAAATGTTGTGCACTTACCAGACAACGAGTCTGTACTGACGTAGGTGCTATCGATTCCCATTCCTTCTCTGACTCTCTGCGACAACCTTGCAGTTCCACTTTTTGATACTCCACACAACTGACTCCCAAACTACAATATGACAAAAATGAATAATTAGCCTTGGTATGTACTTGGGCAATTCATGATTATCGAAACTATAAAATCCACTTACTTCATCATCCTCAAAGCTGAACGCTTTTGCTTCACTAGCATGCCAATATTCTTCGTCTTCTAACCTCCCTGCCATACCTAGTTACAGAACAGTTCTGGTTCTGACAGAACACGTTCTGTTGATTCATCTACAGGAATTGGTAAAACATAAGTAGAATGTAAATACTGACATTGACATCAAGATACGTCAATTTCGTTCTTAAGTGCAACAGTAAACACAAGTTACTCGTGGTACACACTACGTCCTTTAACGTAAGAGGAAAGAACTCAACCCCTTCCACCTGGCCCCTCCCCCTCAAAGGAAAAAAAGAACATCAAAACAACTTGGTAATTCAACACTCTGCCAAGAGATGGCAGATGTATAATAAATACGAGTTTCCCAACTCCGACAAACACGGTTCGGCGTTCATTTATCAGAGAGACAATGAAGTGCAACGTGGTAGTACAGAGCCACCCTGGTAAGACGAAACACCCTGGGTGTGGCCGACACCCCTGGGCGGAGCCCTCGAATGATGCTTTTCCCCAGTCATGGTAGTGCCCCCAGTGTACAGGTGCCTTACAAGTGTCCGCATGGTGTTAACAAGGAGGATCGTCCCAGAGACGTTGTCCCCGGTGAGGTGCGCCCCCCAGGGCCTGCTTTCCTTCGGAGACAACCCTGTGGACTGGAGTCCCGGTGGAGCCGAGCCCCGAGGTGCGACTGTACCCAACGGTGGGGCGGTGGCCCCAATGTGGCTTGGCCTGTGGTTCCAAAGTGTCACAACATTTTCATTAGAGACAACCACCAGGAGTTTCCTCACGTGTTGGGTCCAGCTAATCAGACTAATCTGACTAAAATTAAATTAGTCGACCAATACGGAAAGAAAGAGGGGAAAGGTAGGCTGCAGGCTTCAGAAATTCATGTTTCGATACGAGGGAGAATTTGTACAATTGAGACTAGCTACTTGACTTCGTTTTTCAGGAAACAACTGATGTCGGACTTGGCTGAAATATAAGTGTGTTGCGTAATGACTCGTTACGCTACATATTATCCTACTTTATTTACAACACAATTAGTATGATTACCTTTATTCAACACATACGTAAAATTTCGACAGCAATTCCCAGTAAACTGAAGCTACACAAATTATAATCAATTCATAAATTAAATAGATACCTCAGACTCCTCACACAAGAATTAAGTGCGAAAAGACAATATACAAGAAATGTAGATCAGTGTAATTTATTCATCAGCGTTTGTGTTGTACAAAGTATCGCAGTGGACATTCGCTGTGATAAATCCACCCACAGTTGGCTGTTACATCAATTACAACAATGGCAACAAATCTCACTAGCTTATTCATTATATGTCTGTACCCTTCTTACTCCCGGGTTCAATTCCCGGTGGTGCTCAAATTTATAACTTGTGTTGGGCAAGGCCGTGGTCTAGGCATCACGGAGTTTTCCTCCGTGGCATCCCAACAATTACTCCATTCACACACAGAAGAAGGCTATGGCAAACCACTTCTGATCATCTCTGCCAAGAATGTATATATGTATGAGCAGGTCCCTGACAACCTGAAGAGGTTGGAAGGATCCTGTTCATAATATATGGACCTGTCGTCAGACAGAACACTACAAATAAAAAAAACCTTCTTACTGAACTTAACCAGTCCAATACTATATGACTATCCCCGAACTACCCTTAAGGCGTATTTCGCAACCCCGTTGATGACAGAACCTCATCAGCTCTGTCCTAACAAATTAACAAAACTTACCACACCTAAGCGATTCCGTGATAGTAAACAATTGCACAGTGCGACGCAACAGAAATCAACATCGATATCGCCCATGAACAATTATAAAAGCAGCATCGGTCGTAGTTTATCTTCAGCAATGAAACCGTGACACTGGTACTGGATTTATTATTCTGTTCACCTAAGAAAAATGCAAATAAATCATTAACTTTGGATTCATTAACAAAGTGGTAAAACGGACAACCGAGTGCTGAAGAAAGAGCAGCAGAGTATGTTATTACGTCGACTTGTGTAACAAAAACAATTTTGAAGAATCCTCAATTGTAGGGGTGTTAGGCAACAACTGACATTTCGTTACTTTAAATGATTAATTGGTTGCTGTGTTGAATCCACAAATCAATTTTCTCCTTCCCCATCCGTCATAACAATTAACGCAACCAATTCCAGTTTTAGCCGAACCTGAAATCCTCCCCACCTATTCCTTTCCATGTATTCAGCACTCGACCCCCCAAAATCTACACGTGCACATTCAGCTGTTACCATGGTAACCATCTGGTATCACGTGACCTTGCAAAAGGCTGCCCGGAGGAGTGGGACCCTTCTCTAAGTTGAAAGGGGTGAGCTGGCTGTGGAAAGTTATTTGGAGTGTAAGGTGTAGCTTTGGATAAGGGATGCCACGCTCATTTCGGTTTGAAAATAAAGAGCACAACTTCCACTTGCTCTGGTGCCCTGGCGTGGGAAATCCGGGATCATACCTACACTATCTGTCAAGAAGATGGAAAGTTGCCAGGTTTTTTTTTACACAGTCTTTCTCACGTCCGTCCTAGATAACGGAAGCAAAAATGCGTAGTAGGTACATGGTTCGAGTCTCGTTCATCGAACCATTTACCTTGAGTTTTTTTACATTTCGGTCAGGATGTTATCTTGAAATAGCCACAACAGCGACTTTACCATCATTTACACTTTCTGTAACGAAATTTGGCTGTACAACCTCAGTAATCTACTCGTTGTTACGCATTGCCTGTAGGCCTCTGCATAATTTAAGAAAACTTATAGACAGGCGTTGATTGTGATCTTACGCGATGTGACGCCCCCTAGCAAGTTGTTACCAAAGGCATCCGCGTATGTAGAACGAAACTGTACAGTCCAAAGGCGGAATCGGACGACTTAAATGGTTCCTAATAAATCCTATATTTAGTATTAGCCACGGATTATTTCATCGAAGCTAAACATTTATTTTTATTTTTGTGCAACGGATATTTCTTTTTGTACCGGAAGGTTCTTTCCATCATCCTCTTGCATCCGTTCTGTTGGATCTCTCAGTAAGAAAAGAAGAATAACAATGAAATCTGTGGATGTAATTGGCTATGTTGTTAGCTTCTGCACTGGGACGTTACAAGGTTATGAACCATTACACCGGCAATTTATTGTTCTGGTGATATTTTCATTCAGTGTTCATGCACCTGGTGAGGTCGAATACTCATGTCGAAACCGTATCGAGATTGTGAATGAATGACAACGAGAATGAAGGTGTGATATTCTCATCGCGGTAAAGATTTCGATGTTTGTCTTATGGGTTGCGACGCCATGTGGACTTATAAGCAGATAACAACGTTCCGAAGGAACACATTACTTTCATCTTCAGATCTTCAACCTCGAAGATGAAGCAGAATAAATCTCTGAATCGCGTGTATCTGTCTAGATATTCATACGGTAATTCTACCCAGAAGAGCAACATCGATATTTGTAGAACTGTCCTTTTCAACCAATCATCGACCGTGTCATATCATCAGCAGGAGCAGCATAGCTCAGTAAATTGTGGATACGCGCTGGATTCTGGGATTCGATCTCCGAAGGGGGTGTTTATCCTCCCTGCATCCAGTCCTCCCATCGAAAGGGAAGCGAAATCTAAACTTTATTTGCAAGAATTGCCGAAGCATGAAACTGGCTGCCTCCATCCAGTGTCAAGAAGGAGGATCTTAACCTCCGCATCTACATGGCGTAGTGTTTATCAAACACAGGGATGACCGACTGACTCCACCTCGCTGCTGCTGCTGCTGCTACTATTACTACGACGACTACTACTAGTACTACCACCGAAAGGCGAAATCTCGGGACGTTCGGTTTGATACGTTTGTATTCTGACACTCCTGCCCGAAATGACTCACTCCTGCTGGATACAGCCTACAGTACTATTAGCAGCTTCGCACGTGCCAAGGTCAGCAAGTATCACGAGAGGGGGCAGGCAGCTGCTTGCCGCGGGTAGATAGAAAGTTGCATCATTTTTTCGATGGTTCGAGAGTAAAAAGAGAAGTGAGGGTTTATGTGCGTTTTTGATCCCTTGTCGGATGTGTAACCAACCTGCCCTGTAAGAAAGAGAAAGAGAATTAGAAATGAGAAAGCAGAAGAGAGATGAAAGACTCAGAGTAGGATTATTTTTTTGTGGTTCCTGAGCGCGAAGAACGAAGTCAGTCTGAGGCAGATGGAAGCATCAGACCGAGAACAGCAAGTTTCCGACCTCTTCCATGCGTGCTGCATGTCCTGCCCGTCCTTTCATTCTTTATTGTTCATTCTAATAATATTCAGTGAAGACAAATGATGAAAATCCTCATCGTGGAATTCACACTATCCGTTATACTCTGCGCTTCGTTCCCAAATGCGCTCAACCTACGTTCTTCGCCCAGGGCGAGAGAAATTGTCGTCTCCTGTACGTATTTTAAACTCAGGTTTTTATTTATGAATAGTTTTTTAACGATGCTATTTCAGTAGCTATATAACGTCGAATGAGAGGATGACAGTGAATAATGAATTGGAAAGGATGTGGAAGAAAGCGGTGGTGGCCTAATTTAAGGTACTATCCCGGCACTTGCATGGAGAGACTGAGGAAAACGAAAGACCTCTGTCAGAACAACCGGTGTCCAGGCCGAGAATTGAACCCGTGACCTCCCGAATACGAAGCAGGTGTGCTATCTTGAGTTTTTAGATATGAGAAGGGATGACAAAGGAGTCTGAACAAAATGCAGTAAGCATTCCCTGAATTTAATCTGCTCTTATCTTATTCGTGAATTTTGTGTGTGTGTATGCGTGGTCTGGTTAACCAGACTATTTTTTGTCAGCAGTGGCAAAACGGCACGTGTTACATCACATGCCTGTGAATCATATCCTGAGTACTGCGTCATAATATCACTTCTGTTTACACTTTACTGAGGTTTTCTTTTCCTTTATCAATAAATGTGTGTCTTACTGCGCAGTGTTAAACGTCACCGTAGTTAAATTCGTAGAAAAAGGAATGAGACCGGTGGCAAAGTGATACAGGCCAACAAATTTATGGAAATGATACAACGTGTAGATTCTATGTTAATGATGCTTTTCAACGTCACATGTTATGCGCCGTTCAATAGTGTGTCGATTCTGAAAGATGAATTAGAAGTTTAAGGAAGCCGTCGTAGCATACTCTAAAACGTAATTCTACATTTGCCTGCGGACAATCCGCAGATAAACTCAATTTGTTCTAAAAACAAGATTACAAAGTGCTAAATAGTTTGTAATTGTCTACAAATCATACAATTACGTTTCGGAATTTGGATTCCACTTGTCAGGTAAATAAAGACAAATACCTGGACGACGATCCGGGCCTGGAGGCTAATTCATATAGAAGGAACGACAGACAGAGTTTTCTATCCTAATTACCTGATGGCGGAAGAAGAATTAAACTTCCGAAAAGGGATTTTATTACTTTTAGAAGATCGACAAAGCGTTATTTAAGACACCATCATCAGAAACCTTCGAAATCCGTAGTTTTCTCGTGGGGTATGTTCTTAGCTGACATAAAAGTACCATACGATATTATACCATAAGTGTTGTATGTGGCAACTGGTCACAGACGACGTACGAACATAAACAGACGTTTTAAAATTAAGACAACATTTATTCACGACAAAAGAAACTGGCGCGAATTTCAATGTAATTCGCGTACTTTTCATTATTATCATTCATCACTAAATACATGAGCACACGTGGATCAGAATCTTTGCTTTTCCGTCTGACACTATAACCTCAAATATTAAAATTTACATAACTATAATTCTATTTATTGTGCTGTATGAGTGTGGAACTTAGTAGGATTTGAGGTTTTCACGGCGATGAGTCCGAGGATGGCTGTCTTCTGGGTTGTTGCGCCGTGTAGTCTGGTACAAGTATAACAACGTTTCCGAGGTCCTTGCTGCCTCCATCATCAGGGCGATGCAACGACCCAGAAGACAGCCATCTTGTTTTCTCAAGTTGAAGCAAGAACTCAACTGAGTGTATCAGAAAACAAGGCAACAAGAGAAATATTTGTACCTAAATAACAGAGAGTTGGAAAAAACTGAATTAAGAGAAACTTCGTAATTTGTATTCTTTACCAAATATTATTAGAATTATCAAATGAAGGGAAATGATAAAAGAGGAGAATGTGACATAATGGAGATAAGACATGCATACAAAATTGTGGTTGGAAACCTGGAGAAAAGAGACCACTCGTAAGATGTAAGCGTAGATGAGAGTATAATATTAAAATAAATCTTAAGGAAACGGAGTGGAGCGGTGTGAATTGGACATCTGGCTCAGGACACGGAACCGATGGCGAGTTGTGGAAATTATACGAACGCTCGGATTCCAAGTCCAAAAACAAACTGACCCCTCAAAATTTATTGTAGATCTACTAAATCCTGTTACACGCAAACGGATGGACATTAAATTACGTTTTGAACGTTTTTCGAAACTCGTCAAAAATAACCTTTTCTACAACATCCCATACAGGCCAATTGGGAGACTAGGTCAACTCGGAACCTCCGAAAGAGATTTTTTCAGGAGAAAAAGAAAGCAAACCTGCACAACCGTCTTAACCCCGTGCAAGCGACAGGTGTCAAACGATCTGCGTGGGGCTAGTGAACCCAGCGGTGAGTTGACAGCATAATTAATACAGGAAGCGAATGTTCGACGCTGAAATGGAATGGTCCCTTAAATACACACGTTGCATGACCATGAATGAGAAATGACTAGAATACTGGACCATATGTAAGCCTGACAGAGCATTAGGTTTGGTACTAAAGGCACTACTAGTGCTAGCCATCTGAATACGTACCGTGTTATTCACCTGAATCAGAAGTATGCAAAACACTGTCTTCAAGAAATTCGATTTGTCCTAAGCGAAGTTCAGTATAACACTATTTAGGGCACAGACATCTATAAACGTTTTACAAACAGGTATATCGCAGACAGTAAAGTGACTGCCGACGAACTGAAAATCGAGGCACAATTCCCAGTGAGAAACCGATTTTTCTCTCTGCCATCACTGTACCCAGCCGAGCTCCAGAACCTTTGCAGCCTCCTATCATGTGATCGCTAGGACTGTCTCGGGATAATGCGAAACTGACCTCTCACCATCTCCGAGATCAGAAATGCATGGAGCTTTACCTCCACTCCTCCATGAATTTTCCTGGCCGGCTGCTTTAGCACACGAGAATAAATTTATCTTAAAATTATGATAACTGACTTCTGGGTTGTAGCTCCGTGTAGTCTGGTATAAGTTTACTGACGTTTCGGAGGTGCCTGCTGCCTCCATCCTCCATCTGAAAGGTAGGTACCAGACCACATTACGCTGCAAGCCAGAAGACAGCTATCTTCCTCCTAAATTGTCAAAATATACATAAAAAGCCGTCCCACTATACGCCATGTAGACGCTTGGGGGGGAGGTGTTATAGCTCGAACTTATTCTTGACCTCGGCACGGGGGTGAGTGGTCAGCATCACGCCCGGCCGCGTTTTACCCCCATTCCCCATCGGACAGGAGACTAGGTAGGCCCCAGAGCCGGCCTGGACGCAAAGACTAGAGGGAAAATCCTCTGTCACCGTCGGGGATCGAACCCCGGTCGTCCAGTCTGTAGCCATTCACTATACTGACTGTGCTACCCCGGCTCAAAAGTAGACATTACAATGGTAAAAACAAAAAAGGTGGATAGTAGGCCCCTACACCAATGGAATTAAAATGTGTTCTTTTTACTGCAGATGAAGACTTGATCAAACTACATGCACTGCACCATACACAATCGGAATTAAATAGATACTGGTATCTTTCTGTTCGTAGTTTGAAAAGAGGCGTATCGAGTACACAGAAAATGTTTCAAATATAAGTCGATCTTTACGCGATCTACGATTATGTCGCGTGTCAGTTGTTTTTTTCACGGTGATTCTTTTGGTTTTGTTTCACGACCTCATGTTAAGTGCAAAGGTCGTGACATCGCTAAACTAAACATACGGGGACCATTATGAATGAGTTGTGAAATAAGTACGAGACACCGAATGCGGCCTCTGAAGTTCACTTAAGATAAATCCACAAACATATATAGCACATATTCACACACAGATAAAACGAAAGAATGTGTTCTCGGAAAGGAAGGAGGAAGGATGCCAGAGAAAATTTTAACTAGGTTCTAAGCCGCAAGACAGAGAGAACAGAGGCCAATTCATAGATAGAAAAACTGAACTAACTCTTCGGAGCAGAATCCGTCTTGAGAAAATGATAGTCGGTTATCCAGTCAACAAATTTAGCGCCTTACATTGAACCCGAAGGTGGCTCCAGTATAGGCCTACATTCTCACACCTTATTTCTGTAATATCTGTTTGAAAACCATACATACCGCATGTGCGTTCTTTAAAGTAAGAAACCTAGTTTCAGCTCTCACAAAATGACAGATAACATTCTGGTCTTGTATCACTTATTTTAATCAGGCTATTTCTAGTTAAGTAACTCCATAGAGCACAGTTATTGAGATGATGACAGTCGCTTAGCTAGTCACGAATGTTACAGCCTGTCACAAAACCTAAAGATTCAGTACCGTGTTCACAACAAATCTCCACCTGATCCCTCTCGGAACCTGTTGAATCCAGTATATACCGTCATTGTAATATTATTCTCTCACGTATGTATGTCCCCCAAGTGGTATTTTCCTTCCAGGTTTTCGGACTAAAATTTTGTAGGCATTTCTGGTTGCTCCAATGTTTGCTAAATATTCCCCCCCCCCCCCCCTCACCCTCTCATTTGATGGCCATAAAAATATAATTTGGTAAAGAGTACATATTATCAAGCTCTTCATTATACGGACTTCTCCATCCTCCTAACTTCCTCCACGAAACACGCCAAGATCTACGACGATGTCCGATATTTCTCTTACAGCGACGTAGAATTTTACTCTGCGACCTATCCTGTCTCTAAGGCCGTATTCGAACTCAATACGAACCTACATCACGACATTCAGGCATTATCTTTGTCAGGCAAACAATGTACTCGTGGATAACCTCGGTGATATACGGATGTAAGTGGATAGCATCACGCTACGGTCGGTTTATTCTTAACAAAATGCTCCTGGTACCCACTGGATGAGAGGGTGGGTGGATCCAGGGCAGATTTGGAAGCGGAGGCAAAAATATTAATTCTTGTAAGATTTTAGGTTTTCACAGCGGTGTGTATGAAGATCTCTGTCTTCTGGGTTGTTGCGCTGTGTAGTCTGGTCGAAGTTAACCAACGTTTCAGAGGTCATACTGCCTCCGTCATCAGGGCGATTCTGAGTATGAAGATTTCTGTCGTCTGGGTTGTTGCGCTGTGTAGTCTGGTCGAAGTTAACCAACGTTTCAGAGGTCATACTGCCTCCGTCATCAGGGCGATTCTGAGTATGAAGATTTCTGTCGTCTGGGTTGTTGCGCTGTGTAGTCTGGTCGAAGTTAACCAACGTTTCAGAGGTCATACTGCCTCCGTCATCAGGGCAGCAACAACCCAGAAGACAGAAATCTTCAGATAAAATCTTACCTTACCGGTAATTGAACCCTGCTCGTACACCCTGCTGCCTAGTCACCGTACTGAATGAGCTATGTAATAATTTGATGAAATTATACGATATTATTAATTTATTTTTAGAAGGCAATATCAAATAATACAAGTTTGAATTGAAACTACGGCTGCAGAGACAGTCCTGACTTACTACTACGAGGAACGTGTCATCTGTCAATACTTAGGCAGTGTGCCGCTCACCTGTTCAGCCCATTGCTAGGTGCGCTGAGCGGGTGTTGCCTGACAGGCGGCAACAGCGAACAGCACGTGGGTCCGAGAAAGAACTAGTCTCGTGCTGTAGTACAGCGCTGGCAGTCTTGGCGCGCAGTGATCCTCTCTCGTTACTGCACTGCGTTTCCGTCACGCGACGATCCTGGCCCAGCTTCCTGTAAGTACGTAACATTACATTTACGTTTTGTACTTCCATAATTGTTTTGTTATATTTTTGAACAATATTGTAGGTCACGTAAAAGTTATTAATTTATTTCACAACTGTCAATTGTTGGTGCAGTATCAGACTCGTGTTAGAAGTCATAACTGCTTCCATATTTTTTGAATCATGATGGTTGCTACAGGAAAGAAAAAGAAACACATTACCATACTCATCTAAATAGTATTTGAGAATTCATTTACTTCATTAAATAAAAAAGGTTTGTTCACAAGAAAAGCGACTGTTTAAAAAAATAATTGCTGTCTATTAAAATACTCAAAACCCATAAATACAATCTATGAGGAAAATACAGGATTACTGAATCCCACAGGAAGTGGTACGTTGAAAAAAGTTGCAACATTTTTCCGGGTTAATAGACCAGTTTTTCCTGGACTCGAGTTATCTGTTAGTACGGTATGTCTTCTAATTCATTTTGAAAGTGGCAATAATGTTTTTAGATCATCCTAGAGTTAGGTAACAGAAGTGTCTTAGACTCTTAATTCACATTACACATCATAGGATTTGTATAATGTCGGATTTAGGTAAATTAGATGGCGTTAGTTAGTAGTTAGTTCAATAGTGTGGAATTATGTTGGTGGCAATGAATGCTATTTTTTCGGAATTAGTTTACAGAGTACGATAACTTATTCAAAAATTATATAATGTCGTTCCACTCGCAAAATAATTTTGCAAGAAATACTGTCTAAAGAAGTAAATTTTAAGCCTGTGTCCGTCCACATACAACGCAGACGACCCTGGATCATGAACTCCTTTAATAACCGATTAGACAGGATTTAGTGACCATTTGGGTTATTTAATGACGTTGTTTCTACTCTGGGAGTTATTCAGAGTTAAATAAGATGTCAATTTCACAAATGAATAGCTACCGAATGATTGTGAAGGAGTGTTCGAGGTATTAATCAGGTATTCACCAGGATATCACGCCCTCCTTTCGAATCCTTACAGTGCTGCCGTTATTCCAGCCTTATTGGTTGTGAAACAAATGGTTTCAACACAGGTGTATTTGTACGCTCACAAATCTACTAAGAAAAGCAAGAAACAGCCTGATCACAAGTTTACAGAAATGTCCAGTGTCTCAGAAGCTAAAAGAGTTGTTCGTTTAATTATAAGACTATAGCGATTCTCCATTTCCGTTGTTATTAATTTTCACAAGCGACACCCTTGCGTTTTCCTTCCCACATCAGGAAATCGATTCGATTTTTAGGCAGTCGATGCTTTACAGGAGGGAATAACAAGTAAATTTCAGTACCCACTGTTCAACAAACAGAATCGTTTAACCCATAAGATCCTGTGAACTGTACAATGTGTTCCATGGCTTTAAAATATCACTACATTTATCAGGAGAGACTGAGAGAAAACACTCAAATTATGACAGACAGTTAACTCGGCCGAGATTCGAACAGACAACCTCTGACGTTTAGTGCAGGGCTCTCCCGCTACACCACCCTGTTGGGTGAACTCATACATTGTAAGCCTGTTTCGATCAGAACATACAGTGTTTTGGAAGTTTTGGACGCAAAATTATCACAAATATATACACTGTGTTCACACCCCTGGCAGGTACTGTGAAGATGTCTATAACAGCAGTACTATCGTTAAGCCTATGCGTGGTGATAACTCCGAAAGTTCATTGATCAAACAAAATTCAGTATAGCAAACAGATTTGTTTATAAAGAAAATTCAATGCCGAAATGTGTCGGGAACATCTTTAGGATGTTAACTGTTGTAATAACAGACCGACATTAAGAAGTACTCAACCGTTTTGAAGCTGACAAAATCCATGTCTTCATTTGTTTGTATATTTCCATGATCGTTTATAATCTTCCTTTATTAAAACCATAACTACTTAAGATGGCCGTCTGGTATAAGTTTACCGACGTTTCAGAGGTCCTTGCTGCCTTCATCATCAGGACGATGTTCATACCCTCAAACATAAAATAGAGTATCTTCAGTGCAGTAGTAGCCGGGACTTCGCAGCATGGAAAGGGTTTACAAAATCTCTTAGAGCCCATTTCACTTGCCGCCGGCAGTGATCTGGAATCGGTTTGTTTCACACCTGAAGATGGTGATAATGCCAGAGTAAACTGTTTTACTTTTTGACCCCAAAAGGTTTCATTACCGCCAACTTTGACGGTTTATACGCTATGCTAGTTAGCATATATTTGGCCAAGTCAGCAGAAGAATGTCGTAAGTATGACTTGTAAAATATTCCAAGAAACGTGCAATGCCATAGACAAAGTTTGTTTCCAAATACGAGAGATAAAGACCTCACTGATGACGTGACATACTTTTTCATTTCTATCTTCAACGATGTCTGAGCACACGATATAATATTTAATACCCGACCTCACAGTCTTTTTGAAGAAAATCAATATTGTGCTATATTTTATTGATAAGTTACCGCATGTCTGGTCTAGAAATTAATGCAGAAAAGACAAAGTATATGAACATGACTCGGCATCAGAATTCAAGACAGAGCCAGAATATAAGGATAGTTAATGAATCGTTAGAATATGTGACAAAATTCAAATACTTTGGGATGGGACTAACAAGTCAGAATGACATTCATGACTAAATGAAGAACATATTAAATTTAGGGAATGTTTGCTATCATTCAGTCGAAAATCTTTTGTCAAGTCTCATATAAAGAAAAACTAAATATTAAAGTATATAAAAGTGTAATTTTGCCATTTGTTTGAAACTTGGCCTCTTACTTTGAGGGAAGAATAGATTGGGGGTCTTTGAGAACAGAGTTGAAGAAGATATTCGGACGTAAAAAGGAGGGAGACGGATCATGCAGAAAATTGCATAATGAGCTTCAAGGCCTGTACTCCTCACCTGATATCGTCAGGATGATTAAATCGAGGAGGATGCGGTGGGCGAAGAGGAAGAGGCGGGGTGTTGACAAGGTACTGGTTGGGAGGTCTGAAGGGAAGAGACCGCTGGGAAGACTTAGGCGTAGGTGGGAGGATAACGTTAATATGGACCTTAGGGAAACAGGAATCGATGGAACGAACTGGATGAAGCTAGCTCAGGATAGAGTCCGGTGGCTAGCTTTTGTGAACACGGCGATTAACCTTCGGGTTCCACAAAGAAAGTTGGCAATTCTTTGACAAGGTGAGTGCACAATCGACTTTTCAGAAAACATCCTGCAAAACAGAGTGAGTGTGAGTGAGGGGAGTTATAGCATGTCATGTCAGGTTAGGTTAAGTTCGAGTTGTGTGCATCCATTCCGTAACACATCTGTGATATTGTGCCTTGAGGGGCTTCCCGTGTTGAGTCGAAAAACTGCAACAACGCGTGCTGTGGGGAGGAAGTTTTATCAGCTCCATGTCCTTGTCTTTTCAGAATCTGATAGCTTCCTAACTTGTGTGGCTTCACTGTCATCAAGCCGTAGTGACACTCTACCTTCGTACTTAAATTTCTGAACGTGTTTTTACAAATCCACGAAACAAACATTCATTGATCCACCCAAAATCGCTCTTTACAACTATGTTTTACAGAAGGAGTTAATTCAAAATGGAACTCGTATTAGCTTCAGAAATTTTGTTTGTTTATTTAGAATGATATTAGATTATATCCCACGTATTCTATAATTATTAAAGCAATTTTAAAAATAAATTAAAAGGATTACTTTGATTTTAAACTGATGTTAGAATATATTCAAACCTATTTAACGCAAGTCTAATGAAATAGAAGTCTCACATTCTTTATCGAAATTAAACTTCTGATAGAAATTGTACTGATTCTGTGAACAGAATATTATTTGTTTTGTTGAAATTCTTCTTTTTGTGATCAGATCATGTCTTTGTATTTATATTAGTTCTTCGGCAGCAGAACATTTCTGCCCTTCTTCTCGTATTTGCTGATTCCCGCACAGAAAGGTTGCGAGCCTCACGTTGCCAACCCCTGCCTTAAGATAATGAATGAATCAGACATACATAGAGACAGCATTGCCAAAAAACTGCGAATGAGCCACACCCTTGCAATTGGCATGTGAACATCTGGCATTGGCCAAGTTGGAAGCATAAACGTTTCACAAAACAGCGCCATTTAAATAGAGTTGTTAAAGTATTATTAGTTGCAGGTACGAAGTTCTGACACGTGTCTTCTATGCGCCGATGGTAGGACGACCCAATTTCGAAAACAACAAACAGTCAAAAAAGTTGCGTGATCAAGGATTTTCAACGTGATTCCTCCACCCAGTCGGTCCCTATAATCCCGAAATAAATTATGTAAAAATACTTATCTCACTGACCCACATATACCAAAATAACTGAGAGTCAGAATTGTTACAAGTTCTTTATGTTCACAAGCGTAACTAACAGATTTACAAGGAAGTGTCTGAACATTGTTTTAAATTAATCGCATGTCCATATACGACGACAGGCAACAGAATCTCACCTGCTTTAGCTCTGTATTATACTTGAAACTCGGTATGAGGGTTGTGCTGCTACACGCATGAAGACGAAATGTGTCTTAACATTTTCTAGGATTCGAGAGACAGCCACGTGAACTGCAGAGACCCAGTACAAACTGCGTCATTCGATATGAGATGGTAGCCTAATTATTTGAGAAGATGTAATTTAATTAACATGTTTTCATATGAGTTGACGAACAGTAGCTTATGCTTGCCACATGAAACTTAATTTTTCTTTGTGGCATGAATCCAGGAGCCGATACGAACTGACATGGCCAACATCATTACTTCTTGATCGTAACATCAATTTTTAATGCAGTGTATAGAATCAATTGTAGACAAACCCTCCAGACGTCATAATAAGACAAATGACTTCTCGGATGTTACGCCGCGTAGTCTGGTAGAAATAGACGACGTTTCAGAGGCGCTTCCTGCCTCCATCATTGCTCTGATGATGGAGGCAATAACCACGTCTGATATGATGGTTGATTTCTTCCAAACTGCAGAGCGAAAGATC